CAAGCCTCTTCTCAAAGCCAACTCTAAAAGTCTGCCCTTCCGAGGGAGGAGAGTTCAATGTCGGGTGAGTGGCGTCAGCTGTTAAACTCGCAGTTGGTGACCTGGTACTAAGCATTATTTGTAGTGCGGGATCCCCCTGGTGCCCTGGCAGCGGACCTGCGTCTGTCTGTTCCTTCGATCCATCCACCCATCCTCTCGTTATCATTACCCGGTGCCGCAATTCAAATTCATCCCCCCAGCCGTTGGAAGATCACAACAAAGACACGGGGTTTTGTCTTTGCAGGCGTTAGATACGCTCGTTTCCTCGACGCGCTGTCTACATTTGGATGCCCATAGTCGTTTCCTCGCGTCGTCTTCTGATTGCGAGGCGACTAGAGCGGTGACAACAACTCGGTCTTTTCTTCCTTCTCAATTCCACCCCAGATTTCTTCTCTTAACAATCCCTGGTTTGTCTTTCAAAAGTCGTCTTTCATCAATAAAAGCCATGGGCGCCAATCACCGCTACGATCTCGTCAAAGACCACGACGATGGCAAGGACGAACCCCAGCCACTCCCGCCACCACCCGCCTCGGTCTCATGGTGGAAGATTTTGGTCGGAATCCTCGCTCTTTTAGCCAGTGCCGGCGTGGGCGCGACACTCGCCATTGTTCTTCGTCCCTTTCCCCAGGAATCTAGTGGCAATACAGCTGTCGCCGACATGGGCGCATCGAGCAGCACCTCAGCCGCAGGCGTCCCACTTCCCACAAGACCCGTCGATTCGGTGGAAGCGAAAGTCGAAGAAGATCCTGACAGCTTGACCGGCCAGATTCTCGACTGCGGATACAACCCAGAGGAAGCACGCGCCAAGGGCTGCGTGTACGACGTGATGATGCAGGATTGGGTCCCGGAGCCATGCTACGACCCTATCCTGACGGAAAGATACCTCGCCCAGGGAAATTGGACGTGGTATGCCGACGCCGAGGGCAAAGTGATATTGACGGATGAGGAGATGCGCAAAGGCGAACACGGTTCCGCATGGATGTCGTCGAGTTATCATCAAGCGCACTGCATCTTCTCGTGGGACAAGACCGTCCGTGCCCTGCGCAACAACCGACCAATCAGCCAGGAATTGCTGTCGTACGACCACGTCCTGCACTGCAGCCACCAGACTCTGAACGGCGCCGAGGTGGACGAGAGCATCGGCGTGCGCGCCCCCACGAATTACGCCAAATGTGCGCTGTACGACACGTGGAAGTACAACTGGATCCCAGACAGGCATTCTTCCACTACCGATTAGTTTCTTTTTTTTTTTATATTAATATACCAACTACGCGCAAAGCGGCGGTTTATTCACCGAGAAAATCTTTTCCCACTTTTCGCAGAATCTCCTTGGATTTGTGCGCCACGTACGGAGAGGGGTTGCGTATGTAGTCCTATACAGGCAAACAGGCAGAAGGCGGGAGTGGGATGGGAGGGTATGCATCTTTGCATGTTTGTATGTAGTATCTTAGCGCGACTTCAACAATGAGTCAATGTTGCCTTTTTGTTACCTACAAGTATGGTCTTCCCTGCCACGGCCTTGTCGACCATTAACGGGTCTTCCTTTTATTATTACTTAGGTCTCATGCGCGCGCAGCGTTCAAAAAGGGGATTGACTGCCCTGCTCTTGAACCTCTTTGCATACCACGGGGATATGAATGAAGGGAAGGAGTCCTGAGAATAGCTAGGTATTATTCTCAATCGCCTGATTGAACTGAATGGCTGGGTATCTGCAGTACAGTTCTGTAGTACCTAGGTACCTAGGTGCAAGCTGGGTAATGATTTCACTACATTCTGTCCGTCCACTTGTCCCGAGTATGTATTACTGGGTATTAAGCTGCGCACACACCCTCATTCTCTTGCTCCGCACTCTCCTGTCTCTTCCTGTTAAGAACAAAAGCCCCTGGTCACTGCCCTGCCCACTGGCACCGAACCTTTCGTACTGTACATACTCTGATACTGTAAGACAATCACGTCTCGTCAAACAGGTCATAAAGCCCCATCGTCTGCGCCTTTTCCGCATCTGGTCCTGGGACTAGTAACTTAACATCATCGTCGCCGCCACCACCACGACCGGTCACAGTTTGTCTCAACATGGTCGTCCCGCCCCGCGGGTCTGGGGCCACCGCGCACCTCAGAAACGAAATGCCCCGACGGACCAGATTCGTGATGACGGTGCATTGAGGAGGCGGCGGATCTGGCGATGAAGGGTTCTGTGTGGTGTTGGTGGTCTTGGTACAGGACGGGCACGCAGGATCCCGACAAACCCAGGTCTTCCAAAAGGCGCAGTTGATCATCTCGGCGCCGTGTGAGAGGTATGCGGACCGCATGACGCGGTTGTCGACGTCGTTTTCATCATCATCATCATCATCATCATCATCATCACCAACGAAACTCCCGGAGATTTGGGCGAGCTTGTATCGGGATATGAAGCCCTCGATGATGGCGTTCACGGCCGACAAGTGGCCGCTGGCCCGGCCTGGGGGGTGGGTGTGAGCGGCGACCCGCAGCAACTCCAGGTGGGCGAGGAACTGGCTCACGTCGCCGTTGACGCCTCGTCCGTCGATGCTCGCAAATTCCCAGTCGATGACGCCCACGCCCACGTTCGACTCGTTTTCACAGGTCCCTTGTCTCATGTCGACTAACACTGCGCCGGTCCAGCAATCACCTAGGACGAGACGCTGTTCTTCCGGAGGAGTCGGGCGCAGAAAGTCTGCCTCGACTGCCGCAAAGAGATTTGCAGCCTCTGCTGCGTCGAGGAGAAAAGGAAACTTGTCGAGCTGGGATCGAATTGGCTTGATGACGTGGTCGTGGATGGCACTTTTCATTTCTGGCAGCGAGGGAAATTCAGCTCGAAGTTTCTCGCCCTCCCCCTCGCCCTCACCATGGTACGCTTGGTCGCGGCGTGTCCCAACGATGGACTGGACACTGCTAAGGCTGTGCAAGCGTGCAAAGAACGTACCCAGCTTCTCGCCTATCTTTCGATACATCACGGTCTCGCGAGGCTCGAGCGCATGGCCCAGACGCGGAGCATATGGAGGCGGTCGCCATGACGCCGCGCCGGCCACGTCGGGCGTGAACCCACCCAGCTCGATGAAGATTTTGGAGAGGTCCGGCAGTGCTCCCAAATCGGAGAGTATAAGGACGTGCTCAACTGGATCATGATGGAGCAGTTGAGGGATCATAACTCCCGTCTTCTCCGCGACATTGCGAAGAACACCCCTTGAAGGGGTTGGTGATAGCGCGCTCGATCCGTCCAGACTGCTGGCGGATAGGAACAGGGCTAACGAGGCGGCTTCAACTTCCTGCGATACACCACACTGTCAGTTCAGAACTGGGCCATAGAACCTTGCCCGTCATGAGTACCTGACACAGTAAGTAGATCTGCAGGACACATAGGCACGTAGATACCTAGGCGAGTAGTAGAGATGCATGTATTTACATGAAAGAACATGAGCAGTTCAAAGTACGTATGTACGGAGATGCATGGTACTTTACCTACCTGCCTGCCCTGAGACATGGGCGCACTCTCGCCCACACCCGCGATATACGGCGGTGCATATTTTAAGACGAGCGACCTATACTCCGGGAAGCAGCCTCGCCTATAGTCCAGCTCGGTCACGGTATCGGTATTCTCATCACGTAGAATGGTCTTTGTTGAATCTGACGCGCGTAGTGACGTCTGAGATGCTGCTGCTGCTATTGCTGCTGTGGCAGTATCCGTGTCCGCATCCGCAACCTCGACGGCAAGTAGGCGATCCTTGCTCGCGCGCACCGTCACATTCACCACACCCCCGCTGAGCCGATCAACTCGGTAGATGTACGTTGGGTCCAGACGTCGCAGGTACGCGGCGAAATCAAAGTCCATTTAGTTAGTGGATCGAGGAGCTTCAGGTTGAGGAAGAGGGGAGGGGGGTTGTTTCCGGATAGCCGGATACTTTGTCTCAGTAGAGAACGGGAGGGTCCGCAAACAGGGTGAGATGGAGATAGAAATCGTGTGTATGTGTGAGAGGAAGAGGAAGGCTAAGGGCGTGAGGAATTTCCACCAGCTTGTGAGAGGGGAGAGGGGGGAGGATCTCTGAAGTTTCATGTCGTGACCGAGTTTTGGGGAGGGAGTCGAAATGAATACGAAAGAACTGTTGTCATTTCCATAGATCTGGGCAGGCTAGCTCGTGACTTGGTACTCTGTTATTCTTTTTATTTTAAACTCCATGACCGATGAGAGCAGAGATGTAGACAAGAGCGAAAGAGTGTGGTAGAAATCGTAAATTAATAACAGCAGCACTCATCTCCAGCCCAGTGTTCCCAGTCGTGCCAGTCAACTCTAGACTCTAGACTCCAGGCTGCAGGTTGGAGGTCTTCACACTAGCGCCTTGGCACTCTTAGTCCAATATCAGTGAATCTGTCACTCCGCCAAGTATAGGACTCTACTAGAGTTGACAGTATTAACAGAGGTGACCAGTACCCGGTACCGGTACTAGCACAACCCCCACAAGAAAATCACTCGTATATATGTTATCAGTCTCTAAATTCTGGCACGCAAAGACCCCCTTTACCCACAACAAGGGCGAAAAGATACCGAGTTCGAGTCCCGAGTACGGCACAAGAAATCCAGGTCCTGACAGGTCAAAACTAAACCACCGACCGGGTTTAGTGGGCATCAGCACCTCGATTCCTTTCCTACCGTCCCTCCGACCGCGACGACCTCGATCCGACGACATCAACCCACCCTTGTAGTATAAATTCCGTAGTATAACCGGCCGAGATAAAACCAACTCCGCAAGGAGCGAGTTTTCCTTATCACAGACCAGCAGGGTTGAGCTGCTCTGGGATAAGTTTTTTGCCCATTTTGGCCACGGGATTCTTAAGTGTGGAAGATAGAAGAAGAGGAAGGGAATCAATAGCCAAGCCCCCCGCTCTTTTTCTAAAGAAAGGAAAGGCAAGGATGAACAAGAGAGATAGCGTGTGTGTATGATTTCCCGTCAAAACTCCATCTCGTAGTCTAAATCGCCTGGCCTGTCCAACAGCTCAAACGGAGCATCCTGCATATCCAAATCCACGTCACGGGGGGTACCGAGAGCGGCGTAATCCGCACCTTCTCCCCCTAGCGAAGCTCGCAGCCTCTCGACCTCGCGCTCCGCCATGCGTCCAGCCTCTTCCAATCCGCGGAGGACGTTGCCCAGCATCTCCTCCAGCTTCAGGTCTCGGAGCACCTTCTCGTAGCGGCGCATCTTGGCCCGGTCCCATTCCTCCTCGACCCGGTCGGGGCCGTGGAACGAGTCCTCGGGCCGCGACTCGACGTCCTTCCACTTGTTGCGGAATTCCTTGGCCACCCCGATGTACTCGCGCACGGGGCCCGTGCCGAGGATCGCGTGCAGCGGGCTCGACGGGTGGTCGAGCGCGGCGAGCACGTTGGCGTGGAACCTGTGCGCCGCGCCCTGGAAGTACAGCGAATCGCCGATGATGGGGCGGCGTGAGGCGGGTCTCGCGTGATCCTCCGTCTTTCCGTGTTCTGCTGTCGTGGCCCCGGCTGCTGCTGTCGCTGTAGCGGAGGCTGTGATCACAATCCCCCAAACACCCAGCAGGCAGACGAGGCCCCGCTCCAGCAAGGCGTAGAACTCGTAGAAGTCGATCTTGAACTGCCGTTCCGCATCGACCGGGTCGATGATCAGGTCGTAGGGTCCCAGTGTAGCCCGAGGTCCAGAGGGACCGCCTCCGTCAACAAGGCCATCGATTTGCCCCTGGTTGTCGAGGTTGTGTTGTCGGTTCTGGTATTCTTGGGCCAGATTTAGCGCGCGGTGGGACCAGTGCGTCAAACTGTTGGCCTTCCACGCCAGTCGCCGGAACAGCCTGCGGAACCGCTGCAGTTCAGCCTCTCGTGATAGATATCGTCGCTGGGCAGAGCTGGTCGGAGTCGACGACGGAGCGGGGACTGGCGAAGATGGATGTTGCTGTTGCTGTTGCTGTTGTGGCTGCTGCAAGGAGCTTGATGACACTGAAATCTGGGTTCGTGGGGAGGCGGCTCTTCGGGTCCAGCTTGGGATCTGTGATTCTCGTTCCCGGCGTACATCAGGACTTGCCCATTTTGAAGCGGTCAGGTCGAGGTTCTGCATGGCGATTCGAGGTGGCTATCTGAGAGAAAGTCATTATCCGACACTTGGTCAAAAGGACAATGTTTCACTGCGGTTCCAAAAGTGGCGGTGCATGTACCCAAGCCTCAACTTCACCATCTCTTTCTGCATTGACAATAAACCGCGCACGTCCTCACTACGGCCTCGCCTTGAAGTGTTAACACAATCTACTTGGAAATTAGAATTAGAATTGGAACGGGTATATCAACATAGAGCGCATCCGTCATTGACCGCATAAACCCTATTTCCAGTCGTCCAATCGCCTTTTCAACGGCACCTTTACCATAACCCGATGCCAATAACACTCGTGTGCTTCCAAGCCATACTAAGGAGAACAAAGTGAAGCTCGCCAGTTCAATGGCTAGGGCTATCCCTTGTCCCTCGTCCTTGCTGATCCCTCCTACCCGCATGGCTGACTCTGCCAGTGATGTCTTGCCACGTCGCGTCAAACCTTCTGCCTGTGCTTGCTAAGAGACCTTCCTCTTCTTCCTCCAGCTCATCTTCCTCGGAATCTGGATCTGATAGTTTCGGGGTACGGAACAGGAGAATAATGAAACCGAGCAGGAAAATTCCCAGAAAAACGAACTGCGCCCAGAAATCGACCACACCGAAGAAGGGGAAGTTGACCGTCACACGGTTGAGGAACGTGGATACGACAGACGGGGTGCAGACATTCCTGGCGGCAGGATTCTCAGTTGACTCGGTGCATGGTATGATGTGCTGTGGGTGATCAGTACAATCGGGTTGTTCCCCAGGGTGCTTGAGGGGATGGTCGCAGAACGTTTGAGGGCCAAATGTGGCATACTGCGGAGCCACCATCATAGCTATTGAGTAGTTGATGGCCAGTGTCATGAGAGTGAGCATGACAGTGGCAACCAACAAAGCTTGTGGTGATGTGTGAGCTTTGCGGATTCGGAAGATGGTAATCCACAAGATGCGGATGCCAATGGTCGCAATTCCGATGATGCTCGCACTGAAGAAAAGCATCACGATTAGCATGAAGATGACATAGTCGATAGGAAACACCTTGGCGGACGTGACGAGGATCCAGTTGACAGGTTGGAAGATGTTGATGTGTGCCAGTAGATAGCCGCAGTGCTGTTTGCAGATCGAGTTCTTGGCCTTATCAATGCCCGTAATGAGCATGCTGGCGAAGATCAAGAGTACAATGATCACCAGCAGAAGCCCTAGAATGAGTTTGATAGGCCGTAGAACGGCGCCCAGCTTGATCCAAAATTTCCAGAAGATGTTTTGGTCTTTTCCCGAGGATTCTTCAGCGAGCCGCTGGTGACGACGAAGAGTGCGTTCTTCACGAACAAGCGCATCCAGTTCTCTTTGGTCTTTGGAGGACAGGCCATCGGGATTGCCTTGGGCACGGCCCTCCAGCTGTCTCTGCCTCTCGAGATTGCTTTCTAATTGCGACGCGGTGGATTCGCTTAGCGCAGGCGCTGAGACACTGGGCGCGGATTTGATGAGGGTAAGAGGGAGAAGAGCGAGGCCCGCGGCAGTATAGAAGCAGTAGATGAGAACCCCAATCGTGATCAGAAGGCCTAGCGCAAACGTCAAGGCGCGTTCGCCGTGGTTTTCGGCCAGTAGTTTCTTGAAAAAGTCGAGGTCGAAATGGGCCCCTTCTCTGTGGCGGGCAACAGGGACGAAGAAGCCCACAAGGAAAAGCGCAACGCAAAGGAATACGAAGGCTAGTGTGTATTTGAACGCAGCCCAGAATCTGGAGCCGAAAGTCTGGTTACCCTCCTCTTGGGCGACTTCATCATATTCTTCATACCAGAAATAGGTAAATGGAATGACAAGCAAGCAGAGAAGCGCATCGAGTGAGTATAGAAGATAGTAGACGACCCGGAGGGTAAAGGTGATGTTGTCGACCTTCTCTTGATTTGCCCAGTCCTTCCGTTGACCCAACTTTGAGCTTGTGGTACTAGAGACCAGCGCGACATCGACGGGGAGTAGAAGGACGGTTGCCAGCAGAGATGTGATCGTGAAGATGCAGACAGTTGTGACGAACATAGACCGGTCTCGATGTGTTTGGTAGAGGTAAACAAAGAGACAAGCGATGGAGAGGAGAATCACCACGGCGATGGCATAGACGACCCAGATCAATGTAATTTGGATATAACCGGCTGCGGCCATGGTCGAGTAACCCGAGCCTTCGAACCCGGTCTCTGTCAATGAGGAGATCTGCATGACGGTGTTTCCTGGCGACTTCAATGGGGGTGTGGCGGTACGCAATGGCACAGCGTCTGCATCTCAGACCAGCTGGATGATATGCGATGAAGATGGAATGAAAAGTGATGCAACAATCAGGGAAATAAAGTAGCGCGGCAGACAGGCGCAATCGTGACCTCAGGGTTTCATGGCAGCGCAGGTTCAGGTGTCAGTGGGTGTCGCATGATGAAGGATGCGTCGTCATAGCTGCCCACTTTGTGTTGTTTGGTCTAGATTCGGACTAGCTCCATATTAGCAGATTTATCACGTGTCAGGCCAAAATATCAAACTGGAGTTGCGACTTGGCCCCCTTCAACGCGCCCTGTCCTTGACAGATATAAAAATGTCTACATTCCTCCTGCAACAAGTCACTTTCCGGTGATGCAGCTACAAAGAAACAACTTGGAAGAGCTTGTTAAGATGCCAGGAAGCGAATAGTACTCCCGGCCACTCCAGCCGATCACCTGGCACTTTCATTTTCCAGCACCAACCTCAGAATGCAGTGCTACTCCGAGCTTATACCTCCTTCGGGCGTCACTCACGCCCTCTCACTCCCCTTCACTTCACCTGATGCCGACAATTTGATTGTTGCGCGGACGTCCCTGCTCCAAGTCTTCCAATGCAAGCCGGTCAATGGTGGTCAGGAGTCGAGACTCGTCTTGATCGCCGAGTACAGCTTGGCAGGGACAGTCACGTCGTTAGGCAAGGTCAAGATTGCCGACTCGAAAAGTGGCGGGGATGTCGTCCTCATCGCCCTCCGTGATGCTAAGCTGAGTCTCGTCGAATGGGACCCCGAGTTGCATAGCATATCTACTCTGTCAATACATTTCTACGAGCACCATGATCTCCAGGCTGCTCCGTGGATGCCTGATCTCGCCGATTGTGTCAGTCATCTGACGATTGATCCGTCCAGTAGATGTGCGGCCTTCAATTTCGGCGTCAGTAATCTCGCTATTATCCCTTTCCATCAAGCCGGAGATGATCTGGCTATGGACGACTTGGACGACCTTGACGGAGAGGATAAGGAAAAGCCCTCACACGCAGAGCAAGCTGACGGACAGGTCCAAGGGCCTCAGACTCCTTACAGTCCATCATTTGTTCTGCCAATGACAGTTCTTGATCCTGTGTTGCTACATCCGATCGACATTGCCTTCCTCCATGAGTATCGCGACCCTACCATTGGGATACTGTACTCTACTGCTGCTCGCTCCTCAAATATGAGCGCGGAACGGCGGGACGTTACGATATATGCGGTCTATGCTCTAGATCTCGAGCAAAAGGCGTCAACCACGTTGCAATCTGTCCAGAAGCTTCCCAATGATCTCTATCGAATAATTGCTCTTCCTCTGCCAGTCGGCGGGGCTTTACTGGTTGGCGGCAACGAATTGATCCATATCGATCAAGGAGGGAAATCTAGCGCTGTCGCAGTAAATGAACTGGCGAGAGAGGCATCTTCATTTCCCATGGCCGATCATTCGGAGGCTCGTCTGAAGTTAGAAGGCTGTCAGGTGGAGCACCTGGGAAATGCAAATGGGGACATGCTGGTTATCTTGAGGTCCGGGGAACTTGCTCTTTTGACGTTTCGAATGGACGGCCGGTCGGTCTCTGGGATGACACTTCGTCGACTTGGAGACGGACAAACGCCAAGTTTGGTTATGGGAGCAGCATCTTGCACCGCAAACCTTGGAACCAATCGCCTCTTCATTGGGAGTGAGGAGGCCGACTCAGTCCTGCTAGCAACAGATAAGAGGACCCCCCAGCTGAAGCGAATGCGCTCTCGAGCGCAGATACAAGCCAATGAAGTCGAGCCGCAGGAGGATGACGATGAAGAAGATGGTTATGATGAGGACGACGACGATGATCTTTATGCCGAAATCACTAACGGCCACAACGGCCACGTCTCCGGCGACCTGAGCGGCCAGAGCTTTCGGGCGGTCGATCGACTCGCATGTTTGGCACCAATTAATGACATTGCCTTGGGAAGTCTGGGCAAGCGAAAACGTGAAGATAGTGACGACTCAGAGCGGCGCGACTCATCAGACCGCGAACTTGTCTGTGCATATGGTCGAGGCAATGCCGGTGGAATCGCCTTTATCCGTCGGCAGCTGGAGCCGGAGGTGGTGCAGCGAATAAAGTATGAAGACGCTATTGGACTCTGGTGTTTTAATTCCAGTGGGAAGAACCAGAATGCGACTGACAAGCATGTGGAGTCTCGATTTGACAATCTTATCCTGGTCTCGCAAGTGACACCAGATGGTGCTGGGAAATCTTCCTTGTTTTCCCTCGCCGACGACAACCTGGTCCCGGTCACAGACACAGACTTTGATGAGACTGCTGGCTCTACTATATCGGTCTTCAAGCTGGAGATGACCAACCACACCATCCAGGTACTTCCCACAGAAGTACGCGTATATGATGCCAATTTCGGCCTCTCCCAGATATTTCCTGTCGTGGATGAAGAAGAGGGTCAGACAGCCAGGGCAGTCAAGGCCACCTTCGCCGAACCATATCTCATCCTCATCAGAGATGATGGAAACATGACCTCACTCAAAGCCGATAGAGCCGGTGAACTGGACGAAGTTGAAATTTCCAGCACTCTGAAGAACCAGTCTATCCTATCAGCATCACTCTATCATGATGCCAGCGATTTCTTCCAGACATCGAGGTTCTACGAGGCTGCTGGGACACCCCGAGGGCCGCTCCTAGCATTGTTGACATCCGAAGGGCACTTCTGCCTCCTGTCGTTACCAAACGCCGCCCTT